AATGCATTATTATCATAAACATTGCATTTTCCCATATAATTATTAGCTTCAGTCATCTCCATAAAACGCTAAACATCACCTCCTTCACAAATCACAGCCTTTGTCATTTACTAATTGTGTCCATTCATTTCTGTTTGATTGTGATTAATCCTGTAGACCTAGAGCACACAAAGCAAAGCACACCAGAACTGAGACTCACACTGGACTAGAGCTGGACTAGAGCAGGACTAGACCAGAATTTGACCAGGACAAGATCAGGACTAGACCGGGACTAGACCAGGACTAGACCAGGAAAATACCATGACAAGACCAGCACTAGACCTGCACAAGACCACGACAAGACCACGACTAAACCAGAACTCTACCAGGACAAAGACCGGGACAAGTCCACGACTAGACCACAACTAGACCAGAACTTTATCAGGACAAAACCAGGAGTAGACCAGGAGTAGACCACGATTAGACCACGACAAGACTACGACTAAACCACGACTAAACCATGACTAAACCATGACTAGACCATGACTAGACCAGAACTCTATCAGGACAAGACCAGGAGTAGACCAGGAGTAGACTAGAGTGAGATTAGGACTAGGCCAGGACAAGACCAGGAAAATATCAGGACAAGATCAGGACTAGACCAGGACTTGACCAGAACTCTAGCAGGACAAGACCGGGACTAGACCAGGAGTAGACTAGGACAAGACCGTGACTAGATCAGGACTAGACCAGGACAAGACCAGGAAAATACCAGGACAAGACGACGAACAGACCATGACTAGACCACGACTGGACCAGAACTCTACCAGGACAAGACTGGGACTAGACCAGAACTCTACCAGGACAAGACCAGGACTAGACAAGGAAAAGACCAGAACTTGACCAGGACAAGACCAGGACAAGACCAAAACTAGACCAGGAAAAGTCCAGAACTTGACCAGGACTAGACCAGGACTAAACCAGGACTAGACCAGGACTAGACCAGGACTAGAAAAGGAATAAACCAGGAATAAATAGGACTAAACCAGAACCAAAGTAAGTCTACATCAGGACTAATATTTCTAACTTGATTTTGATTCTAAGTAACAGACTCAATACTCACCGATACCACAATAATAATAAAAACATTCCTTCTTTAGACAATCAAATGTGATTTTCAGCATTCAGTGGGACTTTTTTGTATTGATACTTGCAAAAAATGAGTATCTACTTTCAATACTAGTACTTTAAGTCAATTCGTATCTGATTTTCTACATTTTTGACCTACCTGGTGTTCACACGGATATAGAAAAGATGTTTACAAGTACATTTCCTGTGTAACCTGTGGCGTGACCTAGTTTTAATGCAGTTTAATACAATCATTAAAGCTCTCATCAAACGCAATTACTCCACTTTGAAATAAAGCGCTTTTCTCCAGGTGCTCCACGCGTCCCACTTAAACTCCCTCTGCCTCAAAACCTGAAATCCTGTTTTCAGAAAGCTTTTGTCTCCAACAAAGCGCCGCTCAAACTAATTATTTTTGCCTTATTAGAGAAATGCTGCACTGTAAACATCTTTATTCAAACCTGCCTCCAAAAACGGCATTAACAAGAAGTAATTTGGGGCCCGTGTATAGAATGTAATGGCTCCTACACAGAGGAGTTTTATCATTGTAATAAATGGGAGACGTTGGAACGGGCGTAAGAGTGCAGTGTTTGTGATACATGAAAAGAGTAGTAGCAGCCACTGCAACAATAATTATGGAAAATTGCAGAGTTTTTACAGAATCTAGCCTTTTATAGTTGTATAGAAGATAACAGGTGTGATTTGTCGAATACTCAATTTCTAGGTGCACAGTTTAAAGATCCTATACTGCACAAAATGGACTTTGGTGAGCTTTAAGTCCTGTTAGAAAGTTGTTGCCTCATCTAAACAGACCTGGAGTTGTGTTGTGTTGTGTTTCATTCACACGTGTTTGAGGAATGTCTGTCTCCAAATCTCAAAATGCTCCGTTCCAACTTGTGATGTCATGTAAAACTTTGACTCCATGACTTTTCCATGACCTAAAGTGAATTTGGAATTTATTGTAGTTTCTTTTAAACAATCATTTATTGTCGTCTAGGAACGATAACCGAAATACTGTGTTATTGTATCGTCAAAGTTCTCACAATAATATCATGGACCATCACAATATATCGAATTACAAGTCTCTTTGCTTAAATTAAGAGTTTTGGTGCAGCAATAGCTCAAAAAAAAAAAAAAAAAAAAAAGAAAGACAGAAGGAACTACATAGACCATGATCCTTTGCTCCATTTCAGTGTAGACGACAAGAAGAAAAAACAGTTCTAAGTCTTTGTTCTTTGGATTAAGTCTTGTCAAGGCATTTTAAGAGGAAAAAGTAGCAGCCTCCACAAATTGTCCCAATAAATATTGTATTGTGAGAAGTGTATCGTGAAAATATCGTTCTGAGAAATTTGGATATTGTTACATGCCTAATCATAAGCCTATGGAGTAAGAAAGCTTTGAGAAATATTCATGCGCATAGAATAGAAATTAGTGCATATTTGGTTGTAGCTGCGCATAAAATAAATAACTCCCAATTAACATTACTTTGCCATAACTATTAAAAAAAACAAAACAAAACGATTATTTAACTTGCTATAATAACTTACATTATATTTAGGTTTTAGTTACTCACTCAGATTTTTTATTTATTTATTTTTTTGAAATTTGTGACTTCTACAGTGGCCCTTGTGGACAAATGTTGTTCTAATCTACACAAATCATCTCTAATTTTGACTTAATTTGGTTGGATTATAACTATTGTAAATATAAATTATAGTTTTACACCTATCACGCAGCAGTTTGTGAAAAAAAAAAAAGTTGAAAAATTACAGGAAGTAGAGAGTTCATGACATCACACTAGGGCAGCATCATTTTGAGTAGCATGCGAAAGACTTTCTAAAAATGTACCTATATTTAGCCATCAAGTTTCATTTGTCAATTTATTTAAAAAAAAAAACAATTATTTAACTTGCCATAATAACTTACATTATATTTAGGTTTTAGTTTCTCACTCATATTTTTTTTTTATTTTTTTTTTTTATTTGTGGCTTCTACAGTGGCCCTTGTGGACATATGTTGTTCTAATCTATACAAAACACTCAGAAATGGCCAGAATTTTGTGTAAAGTGCACGTGGAATTTTACTTCATTTTTTTTTTATTCTCTAATTTTGACTTAATTTGGTTGGATTATAACTTTATTTTTTTTTTTTATTACAGGAAGTAGAGAGTTCATGACATCACACCAACACTAGGGCAGGGGTCTCCAGCCGCGTACAGCTCGCAAGCTACCGGTAGCATACGGCCTTATTTTGAGTAGCTTGCAAAAGACTTTCCAAAAATGTACCTATATTTAACAGTCAAGTTTGATTTGTCACTTTATAAAAACAAAAAAAACAAAAAACATTTCAGGCATTACACGCATTTGTCCTCTCAAATTCACTGGTGGTCCATCCCCTTCATGTACAAACCACATTATTTGTCAATTAGTCATCAATCAAACTGTATTAGCGCTGTTGTCTCAGTCAATTCGGTTACCGCTGACCGGCGCCTTAACACCTGCTGCACCATGAGCGCTGCAAAGAAGCCTAAAACATAAAACTTTCATGAACAGTGGGAATCAGACTTTTATTCACAAATTTCAATGACAAGTGTGTGTGTGTCTGATCTGTGGATTTAGTGTGGCTGTCAGTAAGCGATGCAATGTGGAGCGTCACAATAACGTCTTGCATCCACAACAAGTTTTCGCGTGAGTTTCCCTCAGTTAGCAATCTAAGCAAAGAGAAGGTAAACGAGCTCAAATCAGTGCTCCAGGGACAACAGTCTTTATTTGCCAGGCCTATGAAAAGAGCAAATGCCTCCACAGAGGGGTCATTTAAAGCACATACTGACGAAGCACAAAAAGCCTTTTACCGACGGTGCCATTGTGAAGGAGGCTGCGACTGTGGTGGCTCAAACGTTATTTCAGGATCACAAATATAAAGACTGAGATTTTGTCTGCCATTTCTAACGTGCAACTTGGGGTCAACACAGTATCCAGGAGAGTGACTGCGCTGACCGAGGACGCCGCCAAATAACTTGACTCAGACATTCAGAGATGCAAATGGTTTTCTATTCAACGCAGTGTGTCAGTGGATACGAGTGATACCACCCAACTCGCCGGTTTCATTCATATGGTATTCGAGGTATTTAAGGTATTTAAATACTTTTAGTGGATGAAAAGATTCCCATTGAGAAGCTCGTGTCTATAACAAGTGATGGGGCCCTGGCTATGACTGGATTTCCTGCGCACTGCAAGCGGTTATTATTATACTTAATACTTTATTATACATCAACAAGCCAAATGTGCTAAAGTTCTGAATTTTGATGAAGTCATGGGACCTGTTGTTAAGATCATCAGCTCCATTCGAGCAAAGGCAAAGCAGCACCGGAGCTTCAAATTGGTACTGGGGGAATGCGCTGCGAACCACGGGCATCTCCTCCTTCACACGGACTTCAGGTGGTTAAGTCGCGATAAGATACTGCAACGCTTTCTTTCCCTGCTGGGTGAAATTAAGACTTGTATAGAGACTAGGGGAGAACATACCAGCTTCTTAACTGATACAGAGTGGCTTCTTGACCTCGCGTTCCTGACCAATGTAACAGATAAAATCAACCAGCTCAACACGCAGTTACAAGGCAAGGATAGACTTGTGTCTGACATGATCAGTGCTGTTAGAGCATTCAACACTGAGCTCTCATTGTAGCAAGTGAAAAACTAAATGTTACAGCACTTTCCTTCTGTCTCCAGCATATTTGATAACCCAGTTGCAGCCAGTGCTTTGAACGTTGCCAAATACTGTGCTTGGACAAGAGTTTTCAGACACATTTAGGGACTCTGACAAACTTCAGCCTCGTGCGACATTTACGACGAACGCCTTCATGGACGTGGACGTAAGTGAGAGTGAGCAGCTCTTACCTCTCTTCTCTCCGAAGTACAGGGTCTGCTGGGCGGTGTTGGACCACTGCAGAGACGAGTTATCGCTCTCATCCACCCGACAGGTCAGAGTCACCGTTCCTCCCACAGCCACCGTCTCATCTGAGGTGGTGGGCTGCAGCGGGTCGTACTCTGAAACGAAAGAAGAGCAGAGACGAGACAGGTGAGGGTCTGAGGAGGAGGAGTCAAGTACAACGGACAGGAAAGAGATTCCAACCTCCACAAGAACAGGTAAAGCATTTGTGAAAAGAGGAAACCCAAACTTTGAACAACTGTGCGCCATCTCCAGCCAGATAAACACGTCCATGCGCCCTCTGATGTCAAATGAGGTTTCCTTCTTGTTACTACTATGATTCATGTATTGTTTCCATTCATATTTCATATTTTCGGTTGTAAACAGTAAAAAAATGAGCTGAAATGTCTGAATACTGCACCATTTCTGATCCAGGTGTAATGGAACTTTCTGTGCTGCTTCCCACCGCATTGATACACACAGCTACATGCACATTTGAAAATACAAGCCAAAATAGCAACACAAAATCAGATAAAACCACAAAATGCATTACCTCTAGTCTCTCTTCTCATCTCTCTCTCCTCTCTATCTTTCTCTCTTTCCCTTACTCCAAGCTCCCCTTCTTTTTGCATTTCTTCCTCTCTATCGCTCGCTCTCCACCTCCGGTTTCTCCCACCTCCCTCGTTCTCTCCTTTCTTTCTCAGTTATTCTCCTCTTCTTTCCCTCTCTCCTCGCCGGTCTCTCGCTCGCTCTCGCTCCGTCCCCCTCCTCCCCCTCTCGCTGTCAGACTTTCGTATGAGTCTATCTATCTTTTGGGAGCGCACACACTCTTGTTGTCAGGGCGTCTAAAACCAGACAAATGGAGGAGTGTGTGGAGGCCTGCAGGAGTCAGACAGGTACCGGTGTAAAACAGGGCTAACACAAGGCCAACGCGGGGCTAACCATAGACTGTATACATAAATGGACATAGTTAACCCGCTAGCCGTCGCGTAAATAGGGTGCGAGCATGGGTGCGGTTCGGCTCCAGAGACCCTTTTTCACAACGGTCGGAAGTGTAGGTTTGTAGAACTTCCGGTTATTGCTTTTCTGTGGCAAAATATCTGTGGAAATGTCTGGCGTATTTTCCAGCAGCTTCATAAATCTGCCCCATCACCAAACATCTTCAACCAACAAGGTCCACAAAGGATAAACATTCAAGACAAACCTGAAGAATTTATCCACAACTATCAAGGGAAGAAAGAAGAAAACTTAAATGCGAACAACGAAAATGCATTAGTGAACTTCTGAACAAAACTAACATTATGATCATGAATAAGACAAAAGTAACTTGTTCACTCAAATTAAAAACCAATTTCATGATGTCAATATTGGCATAGACAGAGAGATTTGTGCAGTCTGAATGCTCAGTAGTTCACTAATGCTCGTCGTTGTTTGCCTTTAAGTTTTCGTCTTTCTTCCCTTGATAGTTGTCGATAAATTCTTCATGGAAGAATTTTTATCCTTTGTGGACTTTGTTCGTTGAAGCAAATCTTCAACCAAAAAGGTCCAGATATTTTGTCATAGAAAAGCGTTAACTGGAAGTTCTGCACCTACAGAAGCGCACTTCCGGCCGTTGTGAAAAAGGTCTATAGACTCTGGCTCCAACTGACTTTACACTGAAAACTTATCACCTCTCTTTAACTCTCTTTGTAACTGCTGCTGTGAGCCTCGTCATTTTGGTTTTAAAATGTTTGTCTTAACCCGCTCTACATGGCGTTTTTATTTTGCTGATTTTATTTCCATAAATAAATCTCTATTCCTAATATAGAACTCTGCTCTATATTCTCCCCGATAACTGCCAGCCTCATGAGCTTCATTTGACTGGACGCGATGGGTGATGTCACACTCACTTATTCCACTTTTGTATACAGTTTATGGGACGAACAAGGAGCTAGCACAGGGCCATAGATATAGAACCTTAGATGTCGTGTTCATTGGCATGTGTTAATACCGCCGCCATCTTGGTACAGGGTTTCCTGGTTTTCACAGTATCAGCGAGAGAAGATGGCGAACTTTTGCGCCACATACAAATGTGCGAACGAGCGAAATAAGAAAACTTAAGAGTAACATTTTATTGTTGTAGGCCTATGATACTAAATGTTGAGTTCTGAACCCACGACTAAACCAGGACTAAAACAGGACAGAACCAGAGCTGAACCAGATCTGAGCCAGAGCTGAACTAGGACTGAACCAGAACTGAACCTTGACTAAACCAGGACTGAACCAAGACTAAACCAGGACTACACCAGGGCTACACCAGGACTAAACCAGGTCTAAACCAGGTCTAAACAGGTCTGATCACCATCTTGTGTATAAATCTGCTGGGACAGGGGACACAGGGCTCAAAACTGGGACAGTCCCGGGTAAAACAGGGACATCTAATCACCGAGCGAGTCCAACACTGCTGCGACACATTACAACTGTTCACATTACATCAGATGCCAGAGCAAGTTTCAGTGCTTGCCATCAAATTCTGAGGTGTCCGACAAGAGGCGTTTGGCGTGAACACTGACTCAACACTGTGTGCGTTACCGCCGCAGCAAAACTCTCTGAAAGTTATGAAAAGAGCTTACAAACTCATAGTGAATAAGTAAACTGCTTAGAATGCATACGGAATAACTTTGGACCACAGCAAGTTCTGTTTGTCACGTTTTTAAGACAGTAAAAATCAGCTACATTGGGGTTCTGAGAATATGAATGAAGACGTGGCTACAATTTAAAGTTCTACCACGTAATATTTCTTGTAGAGGGTGTGCCGCATGCTTGTCTCCATGGAAACGTTATTGGTTTGTCTAGAATGTTCCACAGTATAGATTCAACCGATCTATTCCTGAGAATGTTTATCGAATTCGACCTAAATTAACGTCGAATTGAATTTCTCCTTTGCCATGGATTCTACCTGGACGACTGAACGATTCTACACACAACCAGAAGGAATTATTGTATTTCTGAGCAACACCCATAATGAAGGAATGCTAAATAGATATACCATGGAACATACCAGGCATAGCAATAACATCTCCATGGAGACAAGTAAGTAGCAGATCCTCCACTAGAAAATGTGTGCAGTAGACCTTTTAAATATGTGTATCATTCGTTCATTTGTTTTTCAATATAAAACCTAAAATAAGAAAACGAAAAAAGTGTTTACTTCATTATTTTTCTCCAAAACCAAAATGAAAAAACAGATAATGATTTGTTTCTTCATTTTTCGTGTTGAAATGAATAATGGAAAAAACGGATAATATCTGTTTCCTGTTTACATGACTTAAACTGAGATTCCGGACCGAACCAGGATTAAACCAGTACTAAACCAGACCGAACCAGGATTAAACCAGTACTAAACCAGGACTAAACCAGGACTAAACCAGGACTAAACCAGGACTTAAACCAAGACTAAACCAGGATTAAACTAGGACTAAACCAGGACAAAAACCAGGATTAAACCAAGGACTAAACCAGGATTAAACCAGGAAAACCAGGATAAACTAAACCAGGACTAAACCAGGACTAAACCAGGACTAAACCAGGACTAAAACCAGGATTAAACCAAGACTAAACCAGGACTAAACCAAGGACTAAACCAGGACTAAACCAGGACTAAACCAAGACTAAACCAGGACTAAACCAAGACTAAACCAGGACTAAACCAGGACTAAACCAGGACTAAGACTAAACCAGGACTAAACCAGGACTAAACCAGCACTAAACCAGGACTAAACCAGGACTAAACCAGGACTAAACCAGGACTAAACCAGGACTAAACCAAAACCAGGATTAAACCAAGACTAAACCAGGACTAAACCAGTACTAAACCATTTTCAGTCCTGGTCTGGTCTCAGTCTTAGTCCCAGTCTCAATCACGGTCTGGTCCTGGTCTGGTCCCGACCTCAGTCCCGATCTCAGTCCTGGTCCTGTTCCCAGTGTCAGTCCCGGTCTGGTCCCGGTCTAAGGCCTGGTCTCAGTCCTAGTCTGGTTCTGGTCTAAGGCCTGGTCTCAGTCCTAGTCTGGTTCTGGTCTAAGGCCTGGTCTCAGTCCGGGTCTGGTTCTGGTCTGGTCCCGGACCTGGTTCAGTTTGTATACGGGACAAAAGTCCGACATCGCAGTTGAAGTCACGTAAACGAGAAGCCGCTGTTTTTCCATTACTCATTTAAACACAAAATCAAAAACTGAAAAGAATGAATTGTTATCTTTTTTTTCATTTTAGTTTTGGAGGCAAATAATGAAGAAAACAGTTGCTTTTTCGTTTTCTTATTTTTGGTTTTATATTGAAAAAACGAATGATGCATGGATTCTTTAAAAAACACAAATAAAACCAACTTATTTGACTGATTCGATCTCCTGACCCTCCAGTCTGTGTCCCTGCGCTCTGTATCTGTTCCAGTATTCGACCTTTGACCCTGTTCTACATAAATACAAAACCGCCTGACTAAATTTCATCACAATAACGCACAAAAAACGACCTACAGGTACAAGCTCTACAGCAAACTCTCTCCTCCACAAAGGCCAGAACTCAATTTCGCTGTGAGCCGAGTTGGAATTCCGAGCAGCGACCCTCCAAATTACCCCAAAATGTCCAACCACGGATCGACGCCAGCTCCCATCATGCATCACAGCGGCGCTCAGACACCGGGGAGGACTCTGGTGTCACTTCTACCAAGCTCCGTGTTTCAATGAGAAGAGAACAAGTCGAAGAGGGAGAGGGAGATATGCAGATGGGCCTCGGAGGAGAGGGAGACGGGAATACAAATGACCCTGGATAATGGAGGTTTTTAAGGCAAGAATCCGGCGAGTATGTGTGAAAGTATTCAAATCAGATGGAATTATGGGAGTTAGCGCGCTCCCCTGATAGCTTCTGATGGAGCTGTATGATTAGTGAGATATGAAGAGACTGGATAATGAAGCAGAGAGCCATAGATTAGAACGGGGAGAATCTACAGCGGTGGAAAAGGGTAATTCAATATGTTTTGGTATTGAAGTTACGCAGAGGGAAAAGATTACAGAAAATGTAAGATCATTTTTTAGTAAGTAATTAAAGTACTTTGGTGGTTTTATAGGTTTAAAGTGCAAATGTTTGAATGTAGTTTCCTCGTCACAAACAGACCTGGAGTCATGTTTTGTTTCTTTCACACGTGTTTAACGCACAAACCCTGCACATTTAGGCTTAGAGGTTTTGTCTCAGACTGAAAACACTCTGTTCCAACTTGTGATGTCATGTGGAAATAAAGGAAGAGGTTCATTGTGTTTTTTTGTTTTTTTTTTTAACTCCACATGTCTTCACGAGAATCATTTGGATCATTTCAGTCCTGGAATTGTCAATCTCTACTGACCTAAACATAAAACAGAGCTTGAAAACTACCACGTCATGACATCACAAGGTAAAACAGAGCATTTTTAGATTTGGAGATGTAGACAGAATGAGAAAAGGTTGTTAGTCAAACATGTGTGAATGAAACAAAACACAACTCCAGGTCTGTTTTTGAGGAGGTAACAACATTCGAACCTGATGTGTATACAATCCCTCAGTCGTCCAGGTAGAATCTAGCCTGATTCATCAGCCAGTTTCACTTCGAAGAAATCGTCTGACCTCGCAGTGCTAAAATTCATTCACTCAACAATAGGCAGGTACTTTTTGTCATTTAACCAATCGCTGCTATTTGGTCATGATGTATGTAATGTACAGTTAACAGGGCTAATTGGTATATTAAGTGTTTCCCAAATCCCGTAGGAAGAACCGCAATAAAGTCTTTTCCCTTGATATAATTCACCAAACATTCTCTGTTCCGGCTTTAAATCCTCGATCTCGGAAACTGTTGTCAACACAGAATGTCTGGCTCTTCGCTGATTGGCTGCTGCCCTAAACTGCGCTTCCAGGGTTCTTAGAAACTGTCTAGTGTATTCTGATTCCTGACCTAGTCGCTGGAGAGAAATGAAATTGAGCGGAGGCACTAGGTGGCACCAGCCTGGCTTGGTAGAATCCATGGCAAAGGAGAAATTGAAGTTGTTATCTGGACAAATGTTTATTTAGGTTGAAAACATTTCACAGCTCATCCAAGGAAAGTTTCCGAAAAAACGCCTCTGAAAAACTACAGAGGATATTCAGACAACATGAAATCCCAGTCTATTTCAAACCTACAAACACTTTAAGAGAGAAACTGGTCCACAGAGAGGACAAAAAACCAAGCCACAAACAAAGCAATGTGGTCTACTCCATTCAGTGTAGTGAAGACTGCAGTGGAGGAATAGAAACAGAAACTTCACAAGAGGATGTACCAACACAGACGAGAGAGCAACACAGGACCTCAGTCTGCTGTACATCTGGACCTAAAAGGCACGAGCCACTCCTTTGAGGACAGTCAGGTACAGATCTGAGCCAGAGAAAAGAACTGGTTTGAGAGAGGAGCTAAAGAGGCTATTTTTGTTAAGAAAGACAATCCATCCTTGAACAGAAATGGAGGCCTCAGACGTCATCAGTCTCCCATCTACAACTCCATTCTTAAACCTAAAAACAAAGAACAACAGGTGTAGCCAGGTCAGGGCCATAGGTGTGAAAACCCTCTTTATGGTCCTGAAGGATTCTGTTAATATGTCCAGATGAATAGGTCGAGCTAACAAACAGAAACTGTAAACTAGTAGGGTGTTAGTTTCAGAGTAGTTTCAGAGTAGTTAGCTCCTCCCTTCAGGCAGATATAAGGAAGTGTCCACCAGCGTTTGACCACAAGTAAAGAAGCAGCTTGGATGACCTGTGAAACATTTTCAACCTAAATAAACATTTGTCCAGTTGACAAAATGGACAATGCTTGCTTAGGATTTGTGTTTTAGTTCTTCCAGTTCATTCGTCCATGACTTAAAGCTCACAAGAGTCAAGCTACGTAATATAGGGCCTTTAAAAACCATTCAGAACATCTTAAATATCCACCACGATGAGTTTATTTATTAGAGCTTTTCACAACTTTCAGAGACCAGAGTAGAATCTAGAAATGATTCCCAATTGACAAGACTTAATAATAAAGTTGTACTCAAGTTGCATGCTTAGAATTTGCGTTTTAGTTCTTCCAGTTCGGTCGTCCAATCGAAAAGCAGAATGAGCTCCACACTTTGAGATGCCAGATACTAAAAGCCAGTTTGCCGTAAAGCGTAAAAAAAAACCTCTCTAAAACAATGCTACCCAAATCACATCATCTGCAGCCAATCATGAACACTGTCCCAGTTTAGCGTTAGTGGAGGCATAGTGGAAAATTAACTCCGACTGAATTCTCTTGGTAATTACAATGCGCCCCCAGTGCTGTTGTCACTATACTTGCATGTTTAATTTTATGGGCACCATTTTGAGGACTTAGGGCGACCAGATTTTCAATATTTAAAACTGGGACACACCCGGGTTGGAATGGTTGATGTAAATAAAAGGGACTTCTGTCGGCTCTACTTTCAATTATTATTTTTTTTTTGTGTTTTAACTTAACAAATGACTATATATCCCCCTGTTTACTGCTAGTGGGGAACAAATTGGTCAAAAATTGGGACAACTGGGACATTTCTTGTGTAAAACTGGGACAAATGAGTGGTTTTGGATAAATCTGCTGGGACTCCAAACTGGGACTGTCTGATCACCCTATTCAAAAATGACCACAGAGACGACCTATTTTTTGTACACTACAGAGTACTTTTCTAGCCATATACTTTAAAGGTTGTATGGAGGATTTTTCTTTTAGTTTCAAATTGTCAATGAAAGTTTCAAATACCATTACAGAGATGCAGCAGCTTTGTAATTATGATGACCAAAAAAAAAAAAAAAAAAAAAGAATGAAAATCTATCAACTGTGGATGTAGTGAGGCCAGATAAACATCAGCCAATAGAAAACGAGGCTCCCTCATTTTCTATTGGCTGTTAGTTTGTCAATCAAACTGCCTACGTTTCTAGTGTAACTGACTCGTGGCGCGCGGGGATTACGTGGTTTATGCAGCGGTTCTTAGAGGCTTTTTTAAATTGTAGCTTCCTCGCAGTTCGCACAAAGTCTGTTGAGATGGCGGACGAGAATCCACGACCAATTCGCCGCAAAATAAAGTCAGTTTTTGAGGTCGCTGAAAGAAGAAGAGAAGGAGAAGAGGAGCAAAGCCAAACTGAGGTGATTCTTGGAGATTCCTTCCAGCGATTGTGCAAATTAAGCAGACAAAGGGTCTAAAGACTGACGTGTCGGTCGCTAAATTATTTCTAGACAGGTCACTTCAAGAGTAATTCTGAACACACACTGGATGTAAACAAGAGTGATTTCTAGAGTAAGGAGGCGGGAGGAGGTGTTTCTACTAAGGGAGCTATGGAGGAGGACGGTGGTGTCACGCATGCCACTCCTCTATACAACCTTTTACTCCTACTTTAGTCATATTGTTATTGAAGTAACAGTTGTTACAGTACAAGTCTACAAAATGAAATGATTTGAACATTTGTGTTTCTTGCAGTATGTCATGTTTTATAGTTTGATCTACAAGTATACTAGCCAGGCTGACACCACCTAATGCCTCCGCTCAATTTCATTTGTGTCCAGCGACTAGGTCAGGAATCAAAATACACTAGACGGTTCGCAAAAACCCAGGAAGTGCGAGTTCGGGTACCAGCCAATCAGCAAAGAGTCATATATTCAGTGTTGTCAACGATTCCCAAGATCGAGGATTTAAAGCCGGAACAAAGAGAATGTTTGGTGAATTTTATCTAGGGGAAAGACGTTGTTGCCCTTCTTTCTACGGGATTTGGGAAAAGCATTAATATACCAGTTAGCCCCGTTAGCGGCGCATTACATATGTCACGACCAAATAGCAGCGATTGGTTAAATGATAAAAAGTACCTGCCTACTGTCGAGCGAACAAAATTCTAACACTGCGAGGTCAGTTTCTTTTCACTTCGTAGAAACCGGCTGATGAATCAGGCTATAAATATACAGGGTTCTCACTCTTTTTAATTGACAAAATTTCAAAAATTTTCCATGACTTTTTCATTACCTAAAGTGAATTTTCCATGACTTTACAACACCTACATGTATAGAATTGATCAGACTTTTAAGGCTAAATATGAAATGTTTCCTTTCCTTTCCACTCACATTATGGTTTGGGATTATAGTTTTTAAACATCCAAAATCCTGTCAGTGCATTTATTGCCGACTCATTTCAAACAAAAGGTGCAGACATTCGGAATTTATCAGAATAGTCTAATAAGAACTTAAGAGAGAACGCTGGAGTTGTGGGAAAGAGATACTAAAATCACATGACTTTTCCATAACTTTCATGCACAATTCCATGATTTTTTTTAGGTTTGGAAAAAGACAAATTTTCAATTTCCATGACTTTTCCAGAATTTCCATGACCGTGGGAACCCTGAATATAATAGTGATAGAATGTTTCATCTTTAAAGGTCCAAAATGATGCAAAAATGGATTCTTGGAAGTTTTCAAGAATGTTTTTACCTCGTCAAAAACAGACCTGGCGTTATGTTTTGTTTCATTCACACATGTTTGAGTAACACTTTAGTATTAATCTGTTTACATCTCCAAACCTCAAAACGCTCTGTTCCACCTTATGATGTCATGTCGTAAGCATTTTCCAAGTTAACTTTTACCTTTTACTTTTAGTTCAGTAGAGATTGGCAATTCCGGCGCTGAAATGATTCAAATGATTCACGTGAAGATGTATGGAGCTAAAAAAAAAAAAAAAAAAAAACAAAGGAGCACTTCTTCACACTCCACATGACATCACAAGGTGGAACAGAGTGTTTTCCGTTCGAGAGAAGAACTTGTGTGAATGAAACAAAACACTCCAGATCTGTTTGTGATGAGGAAACATTAGAACAAAGATCAGAAAATACAGGTCCTTTAAAGAAAATGTTGAGAGTATGTAACCCCCCCAAAAAACAAACCGCGCAAAGTAAAAAGCGCGATAAGGAAAAGAAGTGAGTCTTTTCAGCGGTAAATACTCGAGTGTGTCCTCTCACAAAACTCAGTGTGAATGGGGAGTTTAAGAGGAGCAGCCTGTCACAGCTCCACACACGTCTACACTCACGATGGAGCATTATCTTGTTCCTGCACCGAGAGTTTTTTCTTTTTTTTTCTTTCTTCAGGAATAAACATCTGCTTGAGAGCGCTTCAAAGGAACTCCCGTCTACATAAACAT